CGATGCTTGACAATACTTCATCTGCTAATGCTAGATGAAAGTTTGCCATAGCATTCCCATCCATTTCGATCCATTTGTTGTCATCTGTTAAATCCACCGGCCTTTCACTGATAGCTGCTAGACAATCGTCTTTCCTCAGGATGGCCTTCATCTTCAATTTCCACAATGAGAAATTTCTCCCATTGAATTTTTCAATATCAAATTTCGTTGCCATAGCTTCTTTTACGGATAGCTCCCACTATTTCACTATCGTGAATAGTTCTCTGGAACCTTCAAAGAATGGGTAATACCTTCTTACTTTCTTATGTTGGAGGATCCACCTTTTGGTGGCAACCACAAAGATAATAAGCAGATATTACATACTCAAATCTGGCTCGGATACCAATTGTTGCGGAGACGGCTATCGGATAGAGCAAAATCGTAATTGATAATTTGAGAAAATAAAAAATAGAGATAAAGAGGACACAAAATTTACGTGGAAAACCCCTAAATAATATAGGGTAAAAACCACGGGCAACGGTAGAAGAAATTCACTATGAGAAAATAGGAATTACAACCTCCCTCTCTCTAACAAGGAGAAAACAATGATAATTCTCTCTTGATAAAAAGGAGAAAACAACTCTCAAGAAACTCTCTAAATTCTCTCTAGTATTGGAAGAAAGCTAGAATGCTTTGGGATGATTTTGAAGCTAAATGAGCTAAGGTATTTATAGTTGAAACTTAAGGACTAATTTGTAAATACTCTAACGTACAATGACTAAAATTGAGGTTCTACCATTGTTGAAAATCAACAATTTCTGCAGCCCTTTCTAAATGTCAACAAATGCTTCCACCAAATAATTTCCACCGAAAGTTTGGTTTACTTTCGGTGATGCCACTTATTTTCAACATTTCTCTCTGATTCTCTCAGGGACTTTGGGTGCCCTCCCAGGTTTCACCAGATCATCATGCACTTAGTTACAACTTCTAGTATACAGATCCTTTGGAATGGAATGCTTTCTACGGAGTTTAAACCTAACAGAGGTATATTCGCTAAGGTTGTCCCCTCTCCCGTATCTTTTCGTTCTCTCTGGGACCCAATGATTCTCTCTTGCAGTGGTTCACCGTTATCTCACTTGTTTTTTGCGGATGATATGCTTCTTTTTTGTAAAGTAATCCCTGAGCAAGTTAGTTTTACTAGAGTCATCTTGGACCAGTTCAGTAGGTTCTCAGGTCACAAGGTAAACTCTAACAAAACCAAAGTATTCTTCTCGAACAACGTGACTAACTCCCTTGGCGTTAACCTTTATTCTATCTTGGGCTTCCAGAGATCCTACAATTTGGGCAGGTATCTGGACATGCCTTTATTTCATTGCAGAGTCGCAAAGAGCACTTTCCAATTTGTTATTAACAAGGTCTGAACTAAGCTAAGCAAGTGGGGGGCTTCGAAGCTCTCCTTGGCTGGGCGCATCACTCTTGCCAAATCTACCTTGATGGCCATTCCGAACTATTTCATGCAGACTGTTGTCATTCCCAAAGGTGTGTGTGAGCAATTTGAGATGATAGCTTGCCGTTTTATTTGGGGGTACTTTTGTGTCGCTGCCAACCGTTAGCTCATGGCGGCCTTGACCTCCAGTCTCTTAGAGTTCAGAATGAAGCTTTCTTAATCAAACTTGGCTACAGTTTATTAATGCAACTTGATAACTTATGGGTTCGATTGTGTTGCTCGAAGTACAAACTCAAGACCATTCTCCCCGTCCAAATAAATGCCCGAAACTGCTCTTTCATTTGGTCTTCCCTTTCTAAAGTTTGGTGTTTTATCCGTAACAATGTGTGCTAGTCTTTGGGGAACGGGGGAAATACCAGATTTTGGACCGATGCTTGGATAACCGGGAGGCCCACCCTTGGGAATCGCATTAGCAGTACTCAATCTATGATTCCGAAGAGTTAGTGGGTGATTTCACTAATGATGAGGGGGTTTGGAATACTGTTAAACTTCGCCAGTACCTTACCGAGGACCTTATTCATGAAATCACTGTCGTTCCCCCGCCTTACAAGGATGCAGGCCTTGGTTTACCAATATGGCATTGGAACCCGTCTGGCTATTGCACTGTCAAATCAGCTTACCACAAAATTCACCATGAGACCTGGGATCGTAAGGACAGTGTGTGGAATTTGGCCTGGGATTTTTATGGGCCCCAACGTGTGAAGACTATTCTCTGGCTTGTCCTCAAGAATCGACTGCTTACCAAGGTCAAACTTGTGAGACGTGGCTTATCTACGGATCCTAAATGCCCGTTTTGTGGCTCTTACGATGAAACCACTATTCATGCTTTAAGAGATTGCGACACTGCAAAAAGACTCTGGGCTCGAATCATACCGCCTCACGTAACAGGGAAGTTCTTTAACCTGCCTCTCTTTGATTGGTTAAAGTTTAATCTCTCGTTTATTGCAGGCGTTGACGGTGAAACATATCGTTGGAGGCACATCTTTGGGATCATGGCGTGGAGGTTATGGAAGCAGCGGTGTGATTTTATTTTCAAGGGTGAGTGCTGGACGGTGGAGCAGATTATCCATTTAGCGCGGTCTTGGGCGTTCTCGGTGTTCTCTAATTCCAGTAAGATAGTTGCATCCCCCAACGATCGTCGACAAAACGAAGCTGGTCGCCACCTAAAGCTGGAGCCGTTAAGCTTAACACTAACGGGTCTGTCAAACACTCTATAAACACTAATTTTTTCATTTTATTTTTATTACTATTATTTTTATTACTATTATATATATATATATATATTATTAAAAAAATACAAGTCCATTTACAAATTACAATCTGGAGCCAATATTATTAATCTCGGAGCTCAAGAGGAGGCCCAACAGTGACCTAAACACAGTGGCCCAAATCCAGAAGTCTAAAGGAAACCCTAAACCAGATTAAAGTTTCCATCATCTCAGCTTACAGCCGTCGCATCTCTCAGTCGTTGGATATGAGAGATCCAACGGTCCACATGAGTTTCAGCTTGAAACCCTAGGGTATCATAACCCTAGGGACCACGCGGCGCCACCTCTGATGTCGTCGCCATTGTCGCCTCCAAGAGTATTCCAGTCGCCCCACGTCTACACCTCCACTGCTAGGTGCCTCAATCAACTGCTGCCGCCCTCGCCAGAAGCTTCCAGAAGACCCAACAGCCGTCCACGTCGTAGCTATAGAGTGAGTCACCACATAGTTCGGTGACTTACCGAGAAACCCCTCTATGACCGGTCCGAAGGGAGCTCGGTGGTGGCCTATAAATATGTCCACCGAACCTGCAAAGAGAGGAGGAGGACAGCAACCAATAGAGAGAGGAAGACGAGCAGCAAGTATATCGACAGCCACCAAAAACGAAGCCACACCAACAACAAGAAAGAAGAGAAAAACCGAAAGAAAAGTGAAGGAGAAAAGAACTTACCCTCGGAGAAACCAAACGTCGCTGGAAATTTTTGTGTAAACCAAGGTAAACCTTCGATTTTTGCTTAGATCTACTAATTTTGAGAGATTTTTAGGAGAAATAAAGGCTAGAATCGACTTTAGATTGGAGAGATCTACATATTGGGGTACTTTTGTAATTTTCGGCCACTGTTCACTGTTACCGACGACGGTGATCGACGTCGGAAACGGTGGCCGTTTTTCTCCTTCGAAGAGAGAAAACGAGAGCTTCTCTAAGCAAAATAGAGAATGAGAGAAAAATGGCCTTTAGGCCCGTTTAAAAGGGTTTAAATACACTCCCCCATACGACGCCGTTTAAGGAGAGGGGTGTCGTTGTAATTTCCCTTTTGGGAAAATCATATCCGCAGCCATTCATAGTTTCGTAACCTTCCATTTTGGTCACTCGTATCATACTTTTAATTATTTAAATTTTGTTCTCGCATTTTATTTTATTATATTTTAGTCCCTAATATATATATGTTTATATATTTAGGGTAAATACCTATTTAGTCCCCTATAATTTTGTTAATTTTATTTTAATCTTGTATTAATATTTATGGCTAAATTATACTATTATTGCTTATATTTTTATGATAATTCGAATTAGGCCATTAATTTATATATTTTACATTTTAATCCCTAATAGTTTGATAAATTTTATTTAATATATTTTGCATTTTAATTTTATAATTTTAATTTCTTTTATTTTGATCATTATTTATTTACAATATTATTTTATTATTACTTTTGATATATTTAAATTGTTACTTTCATTATTATTTTTTATTTTTTTCATCTTAGTCATATATATATATATATATATATATATATATATATTTGTTTAAATAATAATATTTATCTTTTAATATTAAGAAAGGGAGGTCTTAAAATAATTAGACGTCCTATTCTGATATTTAAAAAAATTAATAAATATTATGTTTATAAATGTATATATATTTACTTAGTTTTTATTAATTTTAGGAAAATTATTATATTCTTATTTATTCATTTATTAATATTAAAGAAATATCATATATTAGTTTTTATTCATTTATTAAAGCAACTAGATATTCTTTTCTGATATTTTTAAATAAATAAATGTCCTATTTACAAAACCCTAAATATATATATGTATATATATATATTTAATATTTTTCCTTAGAAATATCATATTAAATTTGAAATAATACGATTGTAAATTAAATTTATATTCGAATTCTTAAATTCTATTATTAGAGACAATTTATAATCGACAGGGACCAATTTTGGGCGTTGTGGTGGGTGTTAATATTTCCCCAAACATAACCGACCACGAATACATTTTTATTATTAAAAAGAATGATTTTTTGGTTAAACACAGACATGTTTCTCTTTTAAAATAGTATTTTCTTAAAAACTATTTTAAAAGATAATTTTTTAGGTATTTGACCTATCTAACCTAAAAAAGTCAATGGCGACTCCCAAATATTTTTTTAAATTAAAATCATTTATTTATACACATTATTTTTCTCGTTAAGTAAAATTTCGTACCCGGACAAAATCGGGTTAGACACACTCCACCATGGAAGCAGCTGGAGGTGGAGTGCTACGGGATAGCAGGGGTCTTGGGTGCTGGGGTTCAGCCGGAAAATTGGGAATTGCTCTGTCCTGCACGCCGAGTTATGGGCGCTCTTCGATGGTCTGCAAATCGCCTGGAATTACGGAGCTCGTCATGTCGAGGTTGAGCTGAACAATGCTGAAGCTATCGAAATCCTATTCTCCCCCATTCAACGGCATGATTCGACCCTTATTCGAAGGATTCGTGCTCTTATTCAACGGAACTGGCAAATCAACGTGAAGAAGCCAATAAGGTTGCTGACTTTCTGGCTCATTATGGTCACTCCATGCCTTTGGTTCGGGTGCTCTTACAACATCCCCCAGCGAGTGTTGGACGTCTCTTACAGTGCGATATAAAGCACGGAAATCCTCCGGTGGCTGGTGTTTAGCCCTCCCTTTTCTGCTTGTTACCAAAAAAAAAAGACGAATAAAAAATCAAAGTACTTAGAATTAGGTCTGGGATCAACTTAATGCTATTATTCAGAACAGTTTTGTCATCGAATTTATGCAGTATGCCTACAAAATTCATTCTTGTTAAGGACAGACCAGAGTTACGTTGGGATGTGAACCAATTTTTTACAGTTAAATTGGCTGGTGCTACTCTCTCTCTACCAACACAAATGAGGTCATTGATGTGTGAAAAAGTGAATGGAATCTACACGTGCCCAACTGACGATTCAACGAATCATTCGTGAAATGTTCGATAAGAAGTTTATTTATGTTTTTTTATTTATTAAGCTAATAAATATGAACAAAATTTTTTGTTTCTTTAATTAATTAACGAACACGAACAGATAGTTAGTTCGTTTATTTACGTTCGTGAACATTCGATAATATGTTCGTTCATTTATGTTCTTTTATATTCGTTTATGTGTGCTCGTTTATATTTAACTCAATTTCTCTAAACTCATTTAAAATATTAAAACTCAATAAATATTAATTTGATACCCATAAATATTTTAAAATTCAATTATTATTTTTATTTTTTGCTCCTTTTTTGTTTAAAGAAAAATCTAAATTCTCAAAGCTGTTTTACTCAAAGGTTTGGGTTTCTTAATTTATGAATTCTTTTTATCCTTTTCCCCTTTTTATTTTAGATTTTTTATCTATATTTCTTTGTAATATCTGCTTTTGTTTTATAAATAAATTGGTTTTTATATTTTATTGTTTCTTTTTACTTTATGAGTTTTGCCGTAAATATTTTATTAATTTTTATTGTATTTGTCGTATGTTGTAGAAATACAGTTTTCTTTCCTGAATAGATCCACCAACTGCAATTTTCTGTACTATTTTAGCACTTAATGGCATCAAAATAATAACAAAGAATTCACCAGGTACAATTTTCCATTGGTATTTGTCATGAAAATATGTTGCTGCTTGTATTTTTGAAAGCAGATGATGGATCTTGTGGCTATACAATATTCTCACGTAAAAAATTAAAATTTTTGCTTTGAACTGCAAAATTGTTCCTTTTTTGAGATGAAGTGAGGAATGAGTGCTCTACTTTTGAAGTGGAAAGCATTTTGGAAGTTAAAAGTAATTGTTTTGAAACAGCATTCCACAGCCCAAGGGAAGTTTTTGTTACACCATTGGGCGACGCTCGGCCGACTGCAAACCAATCCTACACTACTTTCAAGTGTTATTTTCAAGTGTTATCGAGTTTGGTTTATGAGAAAATTCCGATAAATTAATAATATTTTTTTGAAGGTAAAACAATGATATATTCATTTCTCGGAAGCATCATCAACAACGTCGTACCAAATACAACCTGAACAAATACAGTTGTGACTATTATAAATAAAATGTAGCAATGATCGATTTAATGATAGCTTGCTAAGAAAAATCATAAATAATTGAGGCAACGACGTATATAAACGGATCACTTCAACGGCCCCGAGCACTAAACATGGAGAAGAAAAACTTGAAGACGCTATAAAACGTACAAATGAAGAAGATATCTCCCCTTAATGACAATATTATACGACATAGAGTTGGATCGTCATGGGCAAACGAATAAAGAAATCAGACATCGAGAAATCAACCAACCATAAAAGCATAAAGAAACACAAACCTAGAAAAACCAATAAAAGAAACTTGCATCGGAAGTCCAAAAATACTCGTAGTCATGATACCCTTTATTAGAAAAAAATGCTAAGAAAAAAATATGATTATTAAAATATGTTAAACTATAATTAAAAACTAATAAAACTATATAAGAATTAATAGAAAAGAGGAACAACACGAAATGAAGATGGCCGTGCAAGGCCACCACCACTGCCTGAGAGAGAAACTTATAAAACCGAAGGCCAAAAAATTAAGGGTAAACTACACGGGAGATCACTAAACTATGATCGTTAATCGATCTTGTCACCGAACTATTTTTATCTCAATTCGAGCACCAAATTTTTTAATTGATTCAATCAGACCACTCTCTGTTAAAAAAAAGGGACTTGCTGACATGTCCATTAATAAAACTGCATAATTATATATTTGATCCTTAATATTGGAATAATTATACATTTGGTTCTTAATATTTACATATTCTATCAATTTAGTCACTATTATAATTCAATTAAATAAATTTAACTATCCAATTAAAACATAACACATGTCAATACATGATTGGAAGGTTTTAATTATAAATATTAAATTATTAATTTAATGATTTTTTATCCAATCAGGTGGTGACATGTGTCAACACCTGATTGAAATGGAAAATAGATAAACAAAGATGCAATTAGGTAGGATCAATCCTACGTCCAAGGGGGTGAAGGGTAATAAGACGCCCAAACCATTGGGCCAAATCTCTCTAATGGTTTTAATTTACAACAATTTTATTTAACTTCTAAAAGTTCGTTAATGATAAAAACAATGAAACAAATTATTTGTTTAAATAAATTTCGGTTTGATTAATTGTTAAAGAAAAAAATTCGGTTAATAATTTTAAAATAAATTTTGGATCGATTAACGGTTAAGGAAAAAATAATTTATTTTATTTGGATAAGAATTTTTAAATAAATTTCGATTCGATTAACGGTCAAATAATTTCGGTTCAATTAATGGTTAAAGAAAAATATTGGTTGATTTAGTTCGGTAAATAATTTTCAAATAAATTTTGGTTCGATTAACGGTCAAATAATTTCGGTTCGATTAATGGTTAAAGAAAAACAATCGATTGATTTGGTTCGGTTAATAATTTTAAAATAAATTTTGGTTCGATTAACGGTTAAAGAAAAATAATTTATTTTATTCGGTTAATTCGGTTAATAATTTTCAAATAAATTTGGGTTCGATTAAAGGTCAAATAATTTCGGTTCGATTAATGGTTAAAGAAAAAAATCGGTTAATTTGGTTCGGTTAATAATTTTCAAATAAATTTTGGTTCAATTAACGGTCAAATAATTTTGGTTCGATTAATGGTTAAAGAAAAAAATTCGGTTAGTTTGGTTCGTTAATAATTTTCAAATAAATTTCGATTCGATTAACGGTTAAAAAAAATTAATTTATTTAAACAAATAATTTGTTTCATTGGTTTTTTCATTAACAAACTTTTAGAAGTCAAATACAAATTGTTGTAAGTTATAACCATTGGGGAGCTTTGATCTAGTGGTTTGGGCGCCTTGTTACCCATCACCCCCTTGGAGGCAGGTTCGATCCTCCCCAATTGCATCAAATTAGAAAATGACACGTGTCATCACATGATTGAATAAAAAATCATTAAATTAATAATTTAAAATACATAAATAAAATCTCCCAATCATGTGTTGACACGTGTCATGTTCTAATTGAATAGTTAAATTTATTTAATTGAATTAAAATAGTGACTAAATTGATAGAATATGTAAATATTAAGGACCAAATATATAATTATGCCAGTTTTATTAACGGACACGTCAACAATTCTGTTTTTTTAACGGAAAGTGGTCTGATTGAATCAATTAAAAAGTTTGGTGGTCGAATTGAGATAAAAAATAATTCGATAGCAAGATCGATTCATGACCATAGTTTGGTGGTCTCCCATGTAGTTTACCCAAAAAATAATTGCTAAGAAAATAACTGCTGCAGAGAAAAAAATATCTGCCGTGATAGAGAGTTGTTGTTTTTTTTAAATGAGAAATTAATAATTAAATCACGTGTTATAACTAGGGGTGTTTAGATCCAATCCGATCTAAAAAAACAACCGAAAATCGATTCAAAAAATTGATAACCGAAAAAAACCGAAACCGATTTAGTGTGTTTGATTTTTTTTTAAAAAACCGATCGGTTTGGTTTAGTTTCGGTTTGGAAATCTGGAACCGATCCAAACCGAATCGAACTGATGAAATAGATTATTGAATTTGCAAGCTTGAACAAACCCATCAAAAGCCCCACAAAATCTCACAAAACCCATATACATATACAGATATAGATTCAACTTTCCTCGACACGCACGTAACAATTTTACTCCAGATTCTAGTCATTGATGCCAATGAAAAAAATGATGCAATAAATGATAATAGCAAAGAAGGATAGTATAGTCTTTTGGTATTTCTTCAGTTCTAAGATAGAGAGAAAATTGTCGGTCAAAACTTAAAAAATGTGCCGTTTTACTTTTATGGGTGACTTACTGACGAGAAACTAATTCATTTTTTGATTTGTTAAAATATATATTCTCTTTGTAAGCTTCACAAGCTTGTATTTGTTAAAATATATATCCTCTTTGTTTTTGTTATATATATACTATTTTTTTTAAAAAAATCTAGAATTATTTTGAAAAATTAGAATTCAAAAATCGCACAAATCTAAACCGAATCAAGCCGCACTTAATTAGATCGGATCAATTTTTTTTAGAAGCATCCAAATCGATCCAAAGCACAAACATTTATACTTTCGGATCGGATAAATTTTTAACCAAAAACCGATCCAAACTGACTGCTAACACCCCCTTGTTATGACATTTTTTTTTATTGAAGTTAACTATTAGATATAAAATAATAATAAAATGAAATGTTAAGTTCTTACTTTGACAAAAAGAAACGTGTTAATTAATTAAAATAATAAAACTTTAACCAAAAAAACGTAGGTAACTAAAGTAATAAAATTTATAATTTACATACTTATTTATCGATTAAATTAAAAAATAATATTCCTTCAGTCTTATTAAACTGTTCTTTACTGATTTTTTAAATGTCAAAATTTTTAAACTTTAATCATGATTATTTTAAATATTTAAAAAATTAAATTTTATAAAATATATATATAGAGAGAGAAAAATCACTTAATTGAATATTTCTAAAATATATTCTTTCATATTTTTATCAATAATAAATTTTAAATAATAGTTATTAAAAGTTTAAAAAATGATTAAAAAAGTCTGTATCTCTTTGGTAGATTCTCAGTTT